AAAAAAAAAAAAAAAAAATCCACTGCGCAGGCTCGAAGGGTTAATGACCTTTCCCAAATCTTCACTCACGAAGACTGGCCATTATTATTACTACAGTTTATATCACTGGCATACCTAAATTCTTGTGGGAATTTCAAACAAGAATCAAGATATAACTGGCAAATATTCTGTAATACAGTCTGTATTTCCATAATTTATCTGTTTGGGTTTTTTTTAAAGACACAATTTTAAGAGGTTTATGGACTTACAGATGTATGAAGAGTATTTTCATTGGCTTGTTAATACGTCAACTACGTAAGGTTCTGCTTTTGTAAAATAGCTGTAATAAAAAGAATTTATGTCCACATACATGGGTTTGTATATATGTACATTCATTTGAAATTAAAATGTTCGTAAATCCTTGTCAATTGTGCTGATTAAGCCCCAGATTGTGATATTGGCAATGTTAAGCTTTTTTGCAAAGAGTTAAAATACTAAAAATTTTTCTTTCGGTAGAGGGTAAAGAAAAGATTTAACTGGCTCAAAGGAAGTAATTAATACTTAGCTAATTTTCACTTTAATAGAGCCTTTCATGAGTATATTTTACAACTGTCAAATGGACATTTCCATCTTGTGAAGAGAAGGATTTAATCAGTGACTTATTTTCTAAATATTTACAAACTTGAGGTTGATTCTGCAAGTTCTTGCAGGTCACTATAGTTATCTAAATAAACCTCAGTATCAATGGATTACTCATATGAGTAGTTTCTCCTAAGAAAATTTGCTGAATCTGGCTCTAAAATTTAAAAATATTTTTAATATTAATTCCATACTATTTTGGTGTATTTTCTCCTCTCATTTTTTTTGAGATCCATTTGTGAACAAATAATTGATAATACTTTTCCAAAAGCTGACACAAATTACTTTTACTGGGTTACAACAATAACAAAACCCCCACCATATGTACATATATAGCACCTACATTTTTTCCCCTACTTTTATTTGAAGAAGCAAGATATCCCTCATAAATTCTCCATAAGCAAAATACCCTTGCTCTTAATGTGAGCGTGTACTCCATGTTATTAGATGAGAGTAATATCTTTCAAAAACATAGTTAATTTGCAGTCAGTTTACATTAACATTACGAAGTCTGGAGATGAAGTTTATTCAGTCTTGAGCCTGAGGTTTTGCTTTCTTCTATAAGTAACTGTAGTGTTTTTGCAAGACCGGGCCTCAGTAGTAAAGCAGTTTAGAGTGGAGGATATTTTTAGACTACATTTATTTAAAGGAAGGGAAGAGAAAGTCAGTGCAGTAAAATATACATGTATTTGTAATTCATATTGCTACTGTGCTTCTATTGTACTAAGAGATTCCATCATGTCTGAGATGGGGAGCTGGCATCCAGGCAGTGAAGCAGGGCAAGAAAAAACACCCTCACCAAAACACAAATAGCAGGGGTTTTCCCTCTCCTCTAGTGTTGCTGCTAATTATTACCACGCTGCTTCTCTTTTAAAAAATAAAAATAAATAGCTGTAGGTCAGGGAGGTATATCTGGACAGTCTGTTAAATAACATTATCCTGCTTTTGGTCCAAGACAGAGATGTTTTCATGCTGATATTTCAAGAGCCTCAGTCTCCACACTCAAAAAGATGAGAGGATAAATAAACTCAAAGGTGCAATGATAAAACATTTAACTTTTCTACTTCTTTGTCATTATACTGATGGCTCTATTTTACAGCTTCTCCTCCCCTACCATACTTTCGCTGATTTCATCTCATTTGCATGGTCTTATTATGCATATAATCTTTGTTCTTCTCACATAGAGTGAATCATAGTGACAAAGCAAAACTTATATACAGAGAAAACATTTTTCCTTCTTTAAAATTGTTACAGTCTTCCAACATTAGCATTTAACTTATCAATATAATTGAACATTAAACCAGATGTAAGTTCTTGCTTATAAAATACTCACAGATTTATTATAGTGTGAGAAAATAATAAGTTGATGTCTAAACTGCCTCCAAAAATCTTTCAGTTTTATGAACATTCAATTTTTCTGTTAAGAGTTTAAGCAAACACATTAGTGGTAGTAACAATTGGGAAATACCTGCTTATTTATGTCAAATAAGCTAACTGCTATATGTCTAACTATATGTATCTTGATAAAGTTATCTGTCAAATTCAGTACATTTTATAATATAAGGACCTATAAGGACACACAGCCATCAGCTCTGAAGATTCCTTATTGCCTTGTATCTGAAAATAAAGAGACTGGATCCCCTAATTTTGTTACTACTTTCTTGTTGTTCATATACTGTAACAACTCTATTTTGTGTTATGGAAATTTGAGTCTGATTCATCCTGATTTATCCACCAATTTCATGGACCTGCCAATGAGAGGGAAGGTTTCAGAATCAGTTTCTTGGTTACCGTCCAAAAGTAGGTAAGAGTGAGTTTAAAGTTGCCCCCGGGAAAGGGAAGGGTAAACTCCCACTGGCTGCTACAGGAACACAACTGGGTCCAACTTGAGAGAAGCACGAATTCATTTTAAAAAGTCTTTGCCTTTGGTAGAATTTTTGGATGTAAAAAGAAAGGAATAATTTGACTGCTTGAGTTTGCATTATAGCAAGTACCTTTCCTTCTGTGAGATTCATATATAAGAGATTAACTATTTCTTTAATTTCTAAGGTCCTGTGGAAATAATGGAATTAATCAAACACAATATAATTAAATTTCTTTCCAAACAAGAATTATTCTTGTAGTGCTCAATTGTTATAATATCACCATCATCACCTCCCTGCAGAAATCTGAAGACAAAAAGTATTTTCTGTCTCTCAAAGGAGGGTGCTCTCACACCAGTCTTAAAGAACATGATGCTGTACTCATCACCTTGCTACAAAGCATTCCCAGCAGAAAAATTGGTTACACCTCATCAATATGACACAGTATAAATAAAATAGCTCCATAATTCAAGAGACAAAATATTATCTGTAAGAATTTGTCTATGCCTTTCTGGTAGCTGCCAGAATTACTCGATTCAGACAGCTCAGTGCATATTTTTTAATAAAATAATGAGTTATGTGGTTCAATTGTGACATTGAATTTGTTCCAATTATTTCTTGCACTGATTAATGAGGTCATCTTTCATATGTGGAAGTAGCAGCTGTTTCTGTTCTTATGGCATTTATTTTGTGTGGGGCATAGTCTACAAAAACTGGAAGATACAGTCCAGTAATATGCACATAGTGGCTCAGAGTTGTCAAAACATCACCCAAACTATCAAATCCTCAGTAAGCTCCACACGCATCCATACCAATATTCTGTGTGCTGTCTTTCCCAAACCAAGACCTTGCTCTTCATGCAGTAGTTTCATGAAAGTTATAAGTGATATTCAGAAAATCTAAAAGGCTTTGATTTGTCATGCATGCTATTATGCTAGCTTCTGCCTCACTGTGTGTGTGATTGACACAGAAATCACTAGGGTGCATAGGCAGCTGTGGTGGGGAAAAAAATGTTTTCCCTCTGGAGTTAAAAAATGGTAACCTCCGAGGGAGTGGTGTCCCTTGGGGTTGATACAATCAGTGCCCCTGCAAAATTTAAACATATCACAGCAGACCAGAAAAGAAGGATGATGACGATGATGTAGTTGGAGGAGAAGTGACCATGTTGTGAAGCCACGAGGAGCTGAGGGGCCAGGAGCCCTGCTGGGGGCTAGGCTCCCCCCCAGCCTCCGGCTGGGAGGTTGCAGAAACTCGGAAACAGTGTTAAACTGGACCGAGTTCTGTGACTGAAGAGCTGGGGGAGTCTTTCTCCACTGTGAGTGGGCAGCAGGAGCGGCGGCAGAGGCAGCACTGAGTGGAAGGCTATGGCTGAAAGCCAAGAAGATTTAGAAACAAGCAGCAAAGACGGCATGCAGCTAAGCAGAGAGACACAGAGATGTCTGATGGAGAGAGAGGACTAAGCTCAATAGAGACAGTTTTGGAGTTAGAACCGAATCAAATCCCCCAAGCCCCTTTGCGACCCCTCCTAGGAGGAGGGGATGGACTCCTACGGGATGGAAGTCCTAAAATGCAGCATGCAAAAGAGAGAGGAGCTGAAAAGCTCATAGACTTTGTGGTGGTTTGAAAAACCTTTTCTCTGAGGTAGTAATGGTTTGCCCCACTGATAATTCTGGACCAATCAATAGTCCAAGTGCATCCTATGGAAATTACATACCCACAGAAACGGAAGAGAAGGTGGTGAAGGTAGTATAGAAAGTAGGTAGCCATGGCCTGAGCTGGGGGAAGCAGGGGGCCAGTGAGCCCCTCTGGGAGCCAAGGGCCCCCAGCCCCCAGCTGAGGCTACAGGAGACCCGGTATAGTGTCAAAGTTGGACTGGGTCCCGTAATCAAGAGCTGGAAGAGTTTTCTTACTGTCAGCAGCAGCAGAAGACATTGAAAGCGGCAGCAGAGCAGTCCTGAACAGAGACAACGGTGGCTAAAAGCCAAAAGGTAGCCAGTAGCAGCGAGATAACGTGAAGCCGGCTGAAAGATGCAGAGATGTTCCTGCAGGAGGGAGAGCTGGCAACAAAACAGAGGTAAACTCAACAGGGCTGTTTTGGGGTAAGACTGTATCACTTTCCCAAAACCCAGAGATCTCCTGAAGAGGAGGGGTGGACTTCCAAACCCTTCAGGAGTCCCAAAATGCAGCAGCAGCTAGAGAGAGAGAGAGAAAGGAGCTGAAAAACTCGGAGTCGCCCTGAGAGCTGAACCAGGATGGAATGAGGAGGAGGTGGCCTTGTCCTCCACTGCTGCTGCTGCTACCATGCTGCTACCATGAGACAGAGCAGAGGAGCTCTGGTAAAACTGAACTGAAAGCTGCCTTAAATGCTCTAACCCAAGAGAAGTGAAGGTCTCCAAGGAAAATCCCCCGAAGGCTCGGGCTTGGGGTTGGAATTTCCACAAAGTAAGGACAAAAATCCTGACTGCCATACTTAAATCTGCTGCCTCAGAAAAATGAAAGACACTAACCAGTGCCACAAAAAACTGAAATGAAGGAACTGTGGTCTGAGGAGTGACAGAAAGAGTCTTCTCTTTTCTTCTTAGACTTTTATTGAAGGAAAAGAGGAATTTAATTCAATGTAAATATATATATGTATGTAAATAAACCTTTGTAAATATTTTCCCCTTCCCCCATGTGCAAGTTTCGAGCTGGCTTCCCGCCAAGTCCCTGAAACTCGACAACAAGGACCTGCTTCCCAGAGAGGGAAGAGAAAAAAAACAACTTAAGCAGCCAAAGCTATAGCAAAAATATATATATATATATTTTACATATAAGACAGATATATACAATGAGAATACTATACACCGCAACTCCAGAAATCCCAAACAGTTCCCCAAAAAGGGAAGAGGGGGAGGGAGAAGGGAGAAGGACAAAAAGGGGCAAAGACCGAGCAAGTCAACCAGCTAACTGAAGGTAAATTAGCAAAATCTCACCACTTCGCTTTGAACAAGCAGGATGGCTCGACACGGCCCAGCGCTCTCCCCTCACGCGTGGCAGATAACAGCAGTCACTGTAGGCCTCAGCTCCAGATAAGCCCAACCGAGACAGGGACCCACCGTTCTCGAACCTTGCCGGAAAGGAAGAGAGTGAGGTCCCTCCTGCTGGCTTTATTTATACCCCAAGTTACATAAAGGAATAGCATGGAATATTTCCGTGATCACTTTCCTAGTTCCTTCCTGGTTACAAGCTGGTCTCCAGGAAGGCCTAGAGTGAAACCATCACACCCCAATAACGAATGGTTTTGTTTTGTCTGAAAACTCTCCACATGAGGTGAGGAAGAGATCAAGTCCGTGCCATCACTAAACCCTCTCACAGGGGCAAATTGTGGGAAGGGGCTTGAACTTAGAAATTGGATTCTTGGGAGTTTCAAACCACCACAACGTCCTGGAAGCTGGACCGGGATGGCCAGATGGAATGCGGAGGAGGTGACCTTGTCCCCCCACTGCTGCTGCCACACTGGCAGCTGAGACAGAGTACAGGAGCTCTGGTAGAACGCCTGGGGCAAAAGACTGAACTAAAAGCTGCCCTAAACCTTCTGACTCAGGGGGAACTTAAATCCCCTGAGGAAAGGGACTGTCACGAAGATCCCTGCACTTTGTGATACGACGTGGTGAAGCAAGCCTTTGTCCCAGCTATCGCTGAGTCCATGGGAGAGAGACCTTCGCTTGGAGTTGAAGGGCTGAGAGGGGTGAGAGGAGACCCCCTTGTATGTAATGGAAAGAGATCCAGCTACCACTCCAGCTACAACTGAAGTATCTTCTTCCTCACAAAGTCCAAGAAGATAGTTTTGAGTCCGTGCTCCCGTGGTTCTGTGTCAGTCTCTGCTGTGTGATTCTCTCTCTCATACCTCGGTTCCGTAGGTTGCTGTAGTTCAGTCAGCTTATCACATGTACGCGTCCTGGAATCTTCATTTCTCCTCCAAGTTTTCAGCTGTCCTCTGTTTAAATCACTGCAATGACGTCCTCCGGGCCTTTCTCTGGTCTGTCTCCAATTTCACCTGGGGTTATCTCCCTGGTGCTGGGCTGCGTTCAGCCCATCCACTTTGGCTCTGCTCCAATGCTAAGCCTCCCCTCCACTTTACAGTGAGAAGGAAAAGAAGCCCCCCTCTGCAGCCTAGCTGGAAAGTAGGGGGAAGAGGGCCTGGCTCCTCTCTCCCGCTTACCTTCAGGTGCTGTGAGTCCCTTCCCTCACAACAGACACTCACTCCAATGCTGCCTCCAACCCTGGCTTAGCCAGAGTTGTGGGGCCGCAGGGCCCCCCTTCCCCAGAGGGGAAAAAAGGGGGGCTCTGCCACCCCTGGGCCTTCTCAAACCCACACAGCAGCAGACAGACAGACCGATTGCCAGCAACTTCCAGCGGTTGTGTATATATGATTTTTCACAGGAGCAAACAAAACAAGCAGTGATTGGCCCTCCAGGGGAGACTGCCCTGGAATCCAATCACCTCACCTATAGGCCCCCTGGCTCCCAGAGGGGGCAATTTTCAAACCATGACAGCAGCCAACACTCTCTCCTCCTCCACAGAAGACAGGAGCTCCTTCCTGTTGGAGTCCATGATGAGCCCTCACTTAAAACTAAGAGGTGACTCTCAGTGTGACCTGCTTCACCCTGGAGTCTCCCTGAGAAGTCTAGGGATGCTTATCATCCTATACCATAAAACACCGATTTTACAGAGCTTTAGTCTAAGATGACTAAGAATCCCTTTTATATCTCACTTGAGACATTTTTCCAATGTAGGAGAAATAAGATCAATCTCAAGTGTTAGAGACAGAGCAGGAGTGGGTTTCCAACTAAATAAAGTCAACAGATTGGTGGGTATGTAAATAACCAAAGAAGAATCCAGCCTACAATAATTGAAATACTATGATAGTTGCGTGTCTTTATGCAGCGAGGGGTACGTGGGCTTTATTCTCAACTTCCTCTCATTTTTCTTGTGGAAAACCTTGCTACAAAAAAAAAAAAAAAATTATAAAACCATGTGGTGCTTTCACATTGCACCCAGGGTCTGAGAATCTCAGTCATGAGATTTCCACTGGTGAACATCCCACTTTTAGACAATAAAGAGTTTCAAAGGTCAACCCATACTCCATAGTGAAATGTTTAACTTATGCAGTCTTTTGCAATGGTGTTGTTTCACACAACAAATCTGCAAGTTTAGGAAGTCCAGACTCCTGGGAGCAATGTTAAAAGGGTGCTTTCCCTCCATTAGACACTTACAAGGCTGCCAGAAATCAGTTAGCTGTGGAAGATTTTTAAAGAAAACATGGTTATGAATCATCACACTCATGCCAGCTGACAATTCTGAAAATAAACTAGAGATGAAGAAAACAGACCCAAAGGTAACCCATTCACACCTTGCCTTTCCATTCCCATCCCCACCACAAACTCACAAGACAAGGAAAGCAATTGCCCCTTCCTAGATGTGCAGTTATGAAGAGTTTCCTAGAAGGCTGTGAGGTTCTGGAATGCATTTTATTTCCATAGCAACAAGAAGGGAAGGATGAGGGGAAGGGGTTTTTAAGATTTGTGGGTTTTTTCTCATTATCCTATTCTGATTTGATTGGTAATAAGTGAAACTAATCTCCCTGAGTCAAGTCTGTTTTACCAGGATAGTAACTGGTGAGTGATCTCATGAAGTATCTTTGCAAGTTATCTTACATCATCTTTGATATACTTACATCAAAGAAATATTTGATATATTTATTTATTCAACAAGCAACTAGCATTTTTTAATCTAAAATAATTATTTCTAAATCAATAGCCTTATCTGGCTATATAAGTAACATAAGGTTTTTCTTGTCTCCTACTGGGCTAATGATACCTTTGGAATGAGGTTTTTAACATTCCTGGGTATGAATGAAAAGTTTCTGTATCATGAATGTTTAGTAATTGCTTAAAATTTTCTGTTAGTGTCTCTTTTCTCCAGTAAATTCCCGTCTTAGAATATTTGTATACATAAGAGCAGAGATAATTATAGTGAGTCACTCGAAGACATGAACAAACACTTCTTGACATTGATGCAAGGTATTCACCTGCCTCTAATGCAGAAGAGAGGCAAGAGCTACAGGCATTGAAATTCATCTCTGAAGCTTTCAACAGAAAGATTGCAAACAGGGCGATATGTCTGTTTAGGGTTGGTTTTGGCTTATCCATGAGGTAGATTCTCTACTGGGACTCACTGACTTGCTCTGAGATGATTTCTGTTAGTTTTGGGTGGCTCAGCCTTGCAGTTGCTTTCATCCTACCTTATGTTGTTGGTGACAGAGGGCAGAAACAATGTTTTGGTTTTAGCTGTCAAAATCTGATTTTTCTTTATATATGTACAAACATTCATCCAGACCCATGCATTTTCATGTGTTTCTGTAGTAGCCAAATACATGTATTTTCTTTGTCTTGGAAATTTGAAAAAAAAAATGCTAGTGCAAAATATATTAGAAAAAAAAATGTTAAAAAGCAAATTTTATTGTTTTCATACAAGTAGATGCTAAGATTTTTCTAAAAGTTAAACTAGATATTTTCATACAAAAAATGTTGATTTTTCCTTATGGTGATACATAAACTAGCCTGATATTGGTCTGGATTCAAACTGGGTCTTTAACACTTTTACACTCATTTTTCAGTAGTTCAAGTTGATGGTGGTTGAGCTATCAACAAAAAACTGTGATGCCATGATACTTAGGATACTAAATGGATTTGGAATTAGTAAACATCCATCTGTCAATTACTTTCTCAGAGCTTTACCTTTGCACCATATCTTGAACAGGATACGTAAGCAACAAAAAATTTTAACTATTTGATAAAAAGATTTTACTCCAGAGAATGAGCTAACACTGAAAACAGCATCTCTGAAAATACGAACCAGCCTTGCAGTCTTCAGATGGAACTTCCCAAGGGTATTCTTGCTTCCCTATGCCTTTAAAATGCACCGTATTCTGTTGTCTCCTGGTTTTATTTCCATATATACATTTATTTCCATACATACATATATATATGGGGCCCCTGGTGGTCTAGTGGTTAGGGTGCAGGACTCTCACCACTGCGACCCAGGTTCGATTCCCAGCCCCCCGGGCAGATGGAGCTCAGCCCTGTGAGGCAATCCATCTAAGAGAAGGTCACTCTAAACAAACCTACTTCCTGGGGACCTCACTGCCACTGTCCAAGCTTGCTCGGCCCCGGCAGATGAACCTCAGGATTAAAGGGTGGGCTCAGTTCAGCGCACGCTGTGTCTCACCTAAAAAATCCACTGCGCAGGCTGGAAGGGTTAATGACCTTTCCCAAATCTTCGCTTGCGAAGACTGGCCATACACATATATATATATATTTACAGCACTCCCTCTATTGCAAAGAGAGTTATATGTAACATCTAAGGGTAAAAAAAAAAAAACAAACAACACCAGATAGAAAGTACACTTAGGTGTGATTCAGGAAACAAAAAGACTGTTCTCATTTCTTTTCCATCGTGCTCAGAAGAATTCCACTTAGTTTATAGCCCTTATTTCTTAGTATCATAGTCCCTTCACAGGTAGTCAACAAATACTCACTTTGCAAATAAAATTCCCACAGGATTACAGTTGTTGTAGAACTGCAGGGTTACCAAGCCCACCCCAGCTCCAGATGCAGAGCCCAGCAGTCCCCCTACCCTGAATTTCACTGATGCATAGCTCAAAGACAAAATACACGTAGTGTCTCCCTCTGAGTGTGGCCCGAGTCCAGAAAAGTGTCTGACCTCAGCTACTGGTTACTCGGTTGGCTCAAATGAAAGTAACCTGTGCTGCAGCTTTGAAGATCCTACCATCAAGCTCTGCTGGTTGAATAAGTAAGAAAAACAGTATGTGACAGTATCAGAATGGTTTTGAAGGAAGCTTTAATTCTTGCACTGCCAAACTTTTCAGAGCTCAACTGCACAATTCTCTTTTAGTGAAACTTTTAGACAGAATTCCCAAACTGATAACTTTACGAAGTATTCATGCAAGGAGAGGGACTTGTCTTTTTATCTTTGCCAAATAAGCTCCAGTGCACTACACTATTTTTCTGTAAAATGATGACAAAACGAGCATCTGTTCAAGTAACATGCAGACCCTGGAAGAACAGCAAGACCATTTATCACTTCTTGCACTGATCAGTTATTTAAAACTGAACAGTATTTATGATAGGAAACAATAGGTAAAGAGGTGTTTGGGTTTGCTGCTGATACCAATTTTACCATTGGCTTTCCTCCTGGTTATTAAAGCCTAACCTTTTCAGCACAGGAGAGCCCATTTCATCACATTGCTTCATAAAAACAAATAAGCAAACAAGGAGAGTGTTGACAGAGCTTTGCTCAGGACCCTTACTTTTCAAATTTAAAAAAAAGTAGCCTTGTCTGGGACATGTTCAGCTTTCTATACATGTGCCTATCACAGATTCACCACCTGACTCTGGCTTATTTGGTAGAGCTAGAGGAGATGTCAGAATGGAGGAGTTACATAGATTAAATTGGCCTGGATCCAGCCAAACTAAATTCCATTTAAATCCTTCTGCCTGTCCTTGCTATTGGCTGCCTCTAGGTCTTATCTCTGAAGAGAAAGTCAGAAGTATCACCCACCACCAGGAACGAGCAGTTCCTTAGTGAGGGCACTCACTCCTCCCTCTTGCTCAACTTGCAAATAAATGCTCAAGATTCATTAGTTCGGAGAGGGGAAAAAGGTGGAGCAGCTGATGTTGCTCCTATACATGTTTTATATTATTTATAAAAAGTAAAAAATACCTGCTGGTATTATATCCAAAAATCTCTCTTCTTCAGGATACAAACAGACATCACAACAACTACAGCCACCTTACTGAACCAAGTCAGCCCAGCTGAACACAAAATTTGTCCTACCCAAACTCTTTTGCAGGGGTGGGGCAGCCTCCAGGCTGTTGGATAGCTTCATTAGTCTCACTCTATCCTCATAGTTAAGATGAAACCACATTGAAATTTAGATGAAACCTCATCGAAGCTTTCCTAATGAACAGTTATGTAGCACAGCAAGGTAATTTGCAGTCCTGTGTTCACACTAAAACAGGTTCTTAAATTAAGGTATTCCTAGATTAAAAATATCTTAAAATAAGGTATTTGCTGCTTTTCAAGATTCTTAATTTTTATGGAATACTGTTTTTTCCCATGTTCTAGATATGCTATCTTTTCCATTGTCTTTAGTTTGTACCACCAGAGACCAGCACCTGAGTCATATATATCTCAGAAAAGACTAAGGGGAGCAATAACATTAAAATCAGTCTGAGATCTTATTAACAGTTTCACGGAGTGGAGATACAATTTAAAACTGTGGAGAGATTAAATGTTTTGTTGCACTTAAAATTAAGAAAATATTTCTTAAATCAATTAAAAAATTGGCACTTGTGTTACAGAATAATGGACATTTTAATAATGCCCTTCAACAGCATAAACATTTCACTTACTTCTGGAATTAGAGACCACTAAAAATTAGAGGGGGATGTGCATATATATATATATGTATGTATTTAAACACACACATAAGTATATGCATATTTCCTCTTAATGAGAACTGTATATATATGTATTGTGACACATTTTGACAGGAAGTATGCAATTGAGACAGCTATTAAGAAATGAAGTAACTTTAGGAGAGTCTTTGAGAGATGTTTAGATACCTATAAATCTTGAAGTGTGTCCTAGTACATAAGACATTTATTAACTTGTGTAAACATGAGTTATGCTAACTGAAATAAATAACTGACAAATTGACAAACTTGGGAAAAATGTTTTTGTTCAAACTTTTCCTTAAAATGTGCTTATTTCTTGTCCTCTCTATTTTTGGAGTGAGGATATTTTATAATTAAGAGCCTAGATTTTCAACCTCCTGTTTATAGAGCTCCCACTGAAATTGGGTCACACCTTTGAAATAAATAGGATTTCTGAACATGAAGGATATTGTTTGCAATATGTTTAATGATATTTTAATTTGTTATCTGATAGTAATTTGAGTGTCTTGATGCAGGTTTTTCAGGTTGCATAAACAACAGGAATGTTGGCAAGTTATTTCACCTCCCAAAAAAGGTTGTAGAAGCACAATGTACCTATAATATCATTAAAATCACACTGACTTGGTCTTGGTAAAATTATTAGCAGAAGCAGTATTTTATTTTGTACTACAGATATCTTATCATTCTTTATCCTTTACTATTGTCAACACAACCCATTTTTTAAATACTCTAAAGGGAGAAACAATTAGAGAAAGATATTACACAATAATTTAACCTTTCCAAGGCCAGACTACTATCCAAAGTGAAGAGGACAGATGCAGGTTATGTAACCCCAATAATGCAGAATTAGACAGACCCAGGCATATTTTCTGCTGCTTTTTAGCTATCACCATTTAAAGAAAACATTTCAAAAGATCATTCCATAGTAAGGAAATTAGTTTTCATGCATATCACTTGGCAAATTGTATTTGCCCTACTTATGTGTGTACATCCTAGTGGGGCTGATTCTGCTCTCATATTATGTCAGGCTCACCCTGATAGAAAATAATTGCAACCTCTTCTGGTGAACACTAGATAACAGAAAACCAGAATTTGAGTGTTTTTTTCTAGCAGAAGGCTTAGGCCTGAGCACTAATATGCCACTTAATATTAACTAACTGTCCAATTGTATTAAATTGTCTTGTATTATATTGTCTCATTTTCCTCTAGTGGAGTTTGTATGATTTAAATGATTTAAATGACAACAAATGACAACACTCTTGTATCTGCCATTATGCTATGTATTGTTAGGTAAATAACTAATTAATTAACCTTCAATAACCTGCTTAGTTGTGGCAGAAGTTTGGGCTATCACTGTTAATAAAACCCGCCCATTACCTAGAGAAGCTTTTGTCTCCATCAACTAAATATACCTCAGAAGAGACTGATGTCACCCAGATTTACCCATTCTCCCGACTCTTTCCTTTGGCACCAGGCAGATGGAACTTTTTCCAGGGTTGACATTGTCAATGCATAGATAGTTGGACATATATCACTTCAGATTTCTTGCCATTCAGCAGTATTACCTCTGATTGGTAGAGGAGACCTCATGCTGGTCTAATTCCAGGAATAACTCCAAGCAGACATCTCAGTCATTCTCCTCAGGAAGAAAAGTCACTAGCCATACACTACTCTGAAACACAGAATTATTAAGTGTATTAGCAAAATGTTTGCCACGAAGCTTACTAATTTTTTTTAAACTTTAAATAAAACTCTAAATAACAAAACCTCCTTTCTTTGATTCTGTGTGGAATACACTGATGCAGCTGTGTGCTCCTCCACCAAGAGAAGATGAATCATTAATTTTACAGGTAGCATGACACAGAAATAAGTACACAATAATGTTTCACATACTTTACTTTTTAATATTCTTGTTGTAATGAATTCATTTGTATTAGAGTAAAAGGACAAATGAAATAGAAATACGGAGTGCCCTAAGTAAATGAACAGCACTGTAAAATCCCTGGTTTTAACCCTAGTTCTGATAATATCTTGTACTTGACCTCTAAATAAACTCTACCTCTGCGTATACCGGTATGACTGTGAAAAGGGAATGAAAACATAACTTAATCTTTGCCACAATGACTGATTGTGAGGCCTTTTACCTCAAAGCAGATGTGTTATTTTAAAGCACTATGTAATAGGTATTGCTATTAGTGGAGGTTCACGCAAGAAATCTCTTCTAGAAAAATATTTGCTGGACAAGAAACAGCTTAGAGTATGAGTAATTCATAAAATAATTTTGCAGAACTGAGCAGCATCTGCTTAGCTCAGTTTGGGACCATTTTATTAGCTGAAGTTCCAAACTATCTTGTGTATCTAACCAAAAAGACCAGAATAAACCCTTTTTCAAGTGGACAAATACAAGCAATCTGGACTACACTGAAACTGTCCCATTAAGTCTTGAGTCCGTATTTGAGCTCAGGTTTCTTTGATCATTTCTATGGCCTAGGTAACAGGTTGCAGGGAGATTTTTGTCTGAAATAGTCTATTGCTTCTCCACCAGAAAACATCACACACAGGGTGGTGGCTGACTCACACCTTTGGGCAGCCAGGACAGGGCAGATCAAGCCATTGGCACAATATCCTAGTGAGAGTGGTGCTAAAGATGCACACAAGGCTTATCTGTCTTTATCACTAGGCCAAATACATCAGCAGTCTTGCAGGCAGTCCCTGCAGAATTGGATAAAAGGGATGGAGACTTTGAATCAGGTATGTAGGAACGGAGCTCCCAGTCGTATGTCCATCTGATGGCACCAAAACTCCTTTCCAAATATAACTGTGTCCATCCCACGCAGATAAAGCAGAATAGCATCAAGACACACTTCAAAGCACATCAGGTAAGTAAAAAAAGGAAGCAGGCTATTGGAATGTAGCTGCATGCTGTGTCCCAGTGTAGAATGTTAGAAAGACATACTACAAAGATGTAAATATGCAGGGAAATTTAGGGCTGAGAAAAATTTTTTGGAGTGTGCCTTAATCTAAGTGATATGAAAGTGTACATATTTCCAACATTCAATAGGTAAAATTCTCAGGATAATAATTGTAATATTACATGAGAATATTCCCTTAACATAATGATTGTGTGTTTTGCATCTGGGTAAAAAATACATTTCTGACACAAGCAGTGATGAATTATTTTATGACTGTGCTTAGCAGAAGCTGCCTTTCTGAAGTTGTAACAAAGTTCAGACTGTCTAAAGAGAAGAGAGATGGAAAGATATTTATCATTCAAGGCAGTGCTATTCATAACCTCAAGACATTCAATGAAGGTACGTAAAATACCTTTTTTCAAATTTCAAATATAGGTAAATGTAATATAGGTGAGGACATTCACTATCTATATCCTCCATGTATTGTCATTCTCTGAAGTGAAATCATTTTGCATTTTACAAGTATGTAATGACATAAAATACAACATTTTTGTAGAAAATATTTCTCAGAAATGCTTTGCTAGTCATATTAAAAACATACTAGTTGCTAGTTTGTTTCCTTTTTTTGTCTTAAAAATGAATCACATCCGAAAGCTGCATTACACATTCAGGAGCTGCTTATCCTTCACCTTATAAATTTGCCTTCCTATTAGATTAAAATTTCTTACCTGTTGGCTCTGTCTTTCTGGTTGTGTGAGGCTGCAATGCAAGACAGGTTTGTTGGCTGTGTTTGCAGAACTGCCTTAAGAATAATGCATTCAGCATCCCTGATGTAAGCTGCTTCCTAAGGTCACCTCCCCATTTGAGTTCAATGGCATGACTAATGCACGTGGAGTTAAGCATGGGCATTCGGCCCTGAGCTAGCAAACATTAGCACGGGGCAGGGAAGCATATCCATGCAGAACTCCCCTCGATTCGGTATGGGAGCACAGAAACCCTCCACTGTCAGAGCCAAAATGTTTACAGGACTGTGACCTTCGAAAGCAATTAAGACACAAAGCATTTCAACTCTGCTTCTGTAGCAACCCATTAAACAAACAAACAAATTACCATCTGCCACACAAAATGAGAAGTAGCTATCTATACTTTAAATTAAAATAAAGGGACCACTCAACAGGAGCATCCCAAACTAAGTCACTCTGTAAAATAGTTTAGAAATACAGGTTAAATCACTAATGTGGTATTCTCATACTTTGTTATGTTACTTTGTTATGTTTGTCCTTCTTAGGTAATCTCTAGTAGTTTACACAGAGCACTTTTTGACTGCAGTCCTCACAAACACGGTCCAGTATCATTCTCCTGAAAATAAGTTATTATCTCATCGGGGAGTAACTTCTCCTTCAGGCTGAGCTGTGATGGGGTTACACCTGGGCAAGGGCTATCTATAGTGAAACACATTTTTCACACGAATAAAAGACTTTCTAAGAGAAACTCAACAAACAAGACCTTGGTGCTGCAATATCTGTGTGTAATATTATGCATGTGAGTCATCTAAATACCCTGAAGGGGATTCTTGCATGCATAAGTATTTGCAAAATGGAAAGTGACATATTTTTGATGCACAAGAAGGAATAGTTTTGTCTCAATCTCTTATAGCTGTTCTGTTGTGGTTTTTTTCTTTTCATTTATATGATCTTACTCCTAGTCTTTAGTCTGATGACTTAAATCATACAACCAAGACAACAGAGCTCGTTTGGGTTTATTCTCTCTGCCAAAACTAAAGGGGGAAGAGAGGTCAGAAAGAGAGAAAGAGAAAGAAATTAGGTCCATTCAGTAGATCAGCAGATATACAGAGTTAAAAAATGTGAATGCCGCCTTTTTATGTTTGTATACATAAGTGTAATGTGTATATGTATGCATGTTCATATACATATATATATAAATACATATATACATATATATGTATTTGCTGGGTATATGTAAGATTCCAAAATACTACAATTTTTTCTCTCATGTAAAGGAGAGAATGTTACACACAGAAACACTTATTCCACTTATTAGCAGCATTTAAGGGATCGCTAAATTTTTATAACATACATACGTGATTCTCCTGCTATATACTGAGTGAAGAAAATTAAGTTTCTAATGATTTTACCTTAAAGAATAAACATCAATTTTTTGAAAAGTTAAATTCTTATTAGAACTTCAAACTTCTGAAAACACAGTAGGGTCAAAATCAATATTTTCCCATAGATTGTCAGGCTTTTATAAAGTGTTTATAATGCTCTGTGACTAAATATGAAAACAATTTTTAGAACTTGATTAAGGTCACCCGAAAAGACTTTATTTCATTAACAATTTTAGCTGCAAGTGCTGTGTTACAGATCCTAGCAACACAGAAATTATATATTAGCTGGAACTGCAATTATTAGAAATTCAAGCTTGTAAATTTTAAGACTGATTTAAAAATTAATAAATAAATTTAATATTTTCCATTCCAAAGGAAACAATTTTCCCATTTCAGTGGAGATGTTAAAAGAGCACTGTTCAGGCTGCTTAACAAGGGTCACTCCAGTACCAGCAGGTTCAGGAGAGAGTTACATGACTCATATCTCCATCCCCAGGGCAAAGGCCCCTTCAGCATCCTCCTGTATGTCAGCACCCTGCTGCTGCAGACACTGGGCGTCCTTCAGAGCTCGTTCTTGCTCTGACAGCAGCCTCAGGCCCTTGCTGAGCTCCCCCTCTCCTGTTCACGTCTCTACCGCCTTGCAGCAACCCGGCTCCCGGTGAGCCCTGTTACCCAGGAGACCCGGCTGTCACTCACCACACATTCTCCTCCATCATACTGCTCGAAACAGCCCCTTTTGTACTCCGTGGCTTGGTGTACCCTTAATTTGTTCTCCTTCTGTGTACAGGCACCACCAGCCCCTCTCTGCGAGCTTATTAATGACACTCCCTAAGGACCCATCCCTCAGTGGGATGTGACGCCAGGCACTACCCTCCAACACCACCCTTTCCACCCCCTCCCTTGCGCCCCCATCCCCCACCCTAACTCCCGCCCTAAGCTCACCTTTTCCAGGTGATGCTCACAGGTGTTAGTGATGCAGCAGTTATTCCACTCCCACTAATATGGTGTGCTGTAGGAAGCATCTCTGTCAGGAGTTGTCTTCCTGGCCAAAAAGTGACACATAACTTTTACCAGCAAAACAACCCCTTCTGACAATTTCATTATCAACACTGATTCTTATTTTAAACATTTTTGTTTTTCCTCTCAGATTCTGTGCCAAAACATCCCTCCTTTTCATTACAACTTTCCAAAATGCATTTTCAATATGGCACTGCAAATAGTCTTACAAATAATCCTCTCAAGCACCTATGCCACTTTCTGCATTTTCACTTGTTTGCTTACTCTGAAAACAGAAGGAAAAAAAAACCTCTGAAAAAAAAGTCTCAACTCCTACCGAGATGACCAATCTTTTTTTTTTACTATTATCTCTACATTTATACTAACAGCAAAATAATATGAAGCACAGATAATTGCTATAAGGAAAAAACAAGCATTAATATATTGAAAATCTGGTTTGTAGAAGTGCTGTGTGTTTTCATTTATTTCAGCAGCAAGAATGAGTGCTTATCATTTTTGAAAATATGGATGACAAAGGACAAGAAATCTGTGGTGAGATTTTCAAAGCACTTTGTCAGGGTGAAAAAAAACAACCAAGCTCTGCTGTCTTTGGCTTCCTACTGAATATAATCAAATCACAGGCTTGAAAAGTACTGTATCTTTTTGGTGTAAAATGGAAGATAGTAAAAGTCTCAACTCTGTTTTTGCTACCTCAAAACTTCAGTAGCAAAATACCGCCAAGTTGAAAATAATGTTAAAATAAAAGACTGTACAAGAAAAATTTATAATATATCAGAAGGTCCTGTAGAAACACAGATAGTACCAACAAAATCAGTATAAAATTATGAAAGTTGTAAGCACTGGGCTAGAATAGTGCTGTTCAGTGATACAAGGATGTGTACTTATCCGCAGTCAAGCACAGTGCTCATATTTCTTAAACTAAGTAAAGTTCAGCCATGTCAGTGACTGAAATAAGACAGAGGTGATACCAGACGTGTTTTTTATGCATCAGCAGGTGGCATACTTCTGCATAAGTGAGTGTTACATTAAACACTCAAGTGAGCAGGCAGTTGCATTACTTTGCCAGAAATGTCTTTGTTCAGAACAAAATCCAGGTTCTAGCACTTTGCGGGTCAAAAAAACCCCAAACATAATAATGAATTGCATGAAAGTCACCATCAGTCACATAATACTCAGTTTTTCCTCTTTATCTAGTGCTTCAAGAATTATAAGCTTAAAATTCGAATTTTGATTTCATAAGAATACATTTTAAGTCACACAAATTTTCCCAGCACAGAGTCTATTGCAAATGGAGACATGGATTTTGCAATTGTTCACAGGATTCCTCAGCTGACAAATCTCTCTATTCTGATCTACTCACTGGACTCCAATAAAAAAGCAATCAATGTTTAATTAGATAAAGTGAAAGACTGGCCTCTTCTGAGGGGGCAACAGTCTGGAGCGGAGCAGCTCTTCAGTGATGAACAATGAACTCCTGTGTGAAGGGTCTGAATTCTGCATAGACCCATTCCCACAAGAACCTTGTGATTGGATGCAGCCGAGTAGTCAAAAAAGTAGGTGAAGAAAAACTACTTAAACTGTATATGAGCGAAGAATATGTGATTGTCACCTGGCAATGTGAGGGGCAGATGTGTGAGAGCACATGTACACACAGGATTTTCTCTCTTTTTGACTATGCTTCTCATTTTTCAAAGAAATAGTATCAAGTTTGGGGTAAATGAAGGAGTACAATTTCTTCTTCTCAATTAAGATTTTGTTGAAAGGCATTAAGGCAGTTATGAATGACAGCAAGAGAGTTTCTCTATTCCACGCACAAGGATATCATTACAACTAAAAGTAAATTCATAGAGGAAAGTTTTGGTATCAATTTTCTGTAGCTCAGAGAAAAGGAAAAGATAAGTAGCAAAGGCATTAAGTTGCACAATTTTACAAAACTCACTTTCAAACTTACTTATGAGTGGGTAGATTTGTCCAAAATGTCAAATCACAAGATTTTTTAAATAATAAAATATTTTTTAAATAATAAAATATTTTTTAAAATACTTTGTTTTCACTGAGCAAATAAATAACGCAATTGTATTTTTTATTTCCATTTATTTCATAGGCTAAGGACACAGAAGAATTCTGGTGTACAAACAACTGTAACACGAATTTTTTCCCCCTCTAAGAACAGAGGACTCCTGCACAAAACTCTGAAGTGATGATAATTTAAAGATATTGCTGACATGTTGAGGGAGCCATAAGGGTGCGTGGGCCTCTGTCCATAGATAATACAAGTCAGGCCTGAGGCAAATAGTGGAAGAAAATTTAGATATCAGTGAAACAAATAAATGTCTTCTTGTAAAATTGAGAGATGCTTACATCAGATCAAATGAAGAATAAAACCAAAACAGTTCCCAAAGGAGCAGCAGAATATAATAAAAGATATCAACAGAACTAGGGCTAAAACTAGGAGAAAATATTCTTTCCATATTTGTTTCCATGTAAGATCAGAAAGAACATGGGGAAAAGATGGGGGTTTTTTTCTGATAAATCAGATTAAAATGGCTCTTGAATGAACTTCCTCTGTCAGTCATTCAACCCAGGATCACTGCATGGATACACCACTGACACTTTTTCCGCTTTACCCTCTTCAAATAGCCCTTTGCAGTACATGTGAGTGCATTCAGATTAAATATGCACATCAGCCTGGGAACTCTGAGGATACTTTCAGGAGATAGCTATAGATCTACACTTATCTGGCAAACAGCTTTGACAGAGTTATAAAAAGTTACCCATAACACTTGAGCAAATAACTGTTAATTTACAGATACAGTTCAAAACCTCACCCAGACTGACTGCATATACTTCTGTCATTTGTTTCAAACAGGTTAGTCATCACTAGGCTTCAGCATCCTAAACCATTCTTTGCACCTATTTTTTCAAGTGAGAAGTATTTGCACATTCAGGGAAATTCTTGCTGCTTCTTCCACTCAGTATAAAGTTTGAGTTATGCCCAAAAATTTAGTCTTCTTCTAATTACCTTCTATTTCTTAATTTACTTGAAGCCCAAGCTACATTTAATGTTGAAGTACAAAGAGTATTGAAAATTGCAGATTTTTTTTTCTCTATTGGAATTTCAGGATCAAACTACTACTACTATTATTGTTTTACTACTAAGAATACATAATTTCTTTTTAACTTTTAAATTTTTTAAACATTAAATTTTCTTGAAGCATTTATTTTTTTATCATTAAGATTTTTAAATTAAAATTTTTAACTTTTTAAGCATTTTTAACTTTCTTAAGCTCTTTTAAACTCTTTTTAGCTTTCTTATATATTGTACTTCCAAAGCAAACATCTTTTTTTCCCAGAGAAGTTTACTGTTACTACAGTCTCAAGACGACTTTGACAACTGGATGAAATGAGAGCAGAGATGAAAACCTCATGGCAAAAGCTAAGTAACTTCAGTTGTTTAGCAAAAGCAAGTTAACCTTAGGGGTGATTATTTCAATATTTATAATTTGTAAAATAAATATACTTACAAACATTCAAAAATATCACATGCATTACTTTAATTTTAATGCCAAAACTGGAGTTGAGGCAGAGACCCTGTTAAGAAGAAGCTGCATGTTTCCTGATTCAGTTTGCTGAAGATGTGCATGGAGAGGAGGAGTCAAAACAACAAGAAAGGGAGGAGGTGACCAGGGCACCAAGGGTAACACCATTAGTAGAAAAGAGAGGGCAGAAGCAGGTCAAATGTCTAGGTCAAATAAAGCAGGACAATGTTAAGGAGAGGTTTGAATAAAAAGATGAGAGCCTTGAATTTAACCACAAGGTGATGAATTTGAGGGCCATGCAGCACTTTGCAGGGTGTGCCCAGCACCTTGCAGAATTGCTTTTGGAGACTAAATTTTCATTGCTTGTAGGCCATTGTACATTATTAATGACTGCAGAATTAGGTTACAAATGTTTGGGAATGTATCTGGAAAGACAGTACAGTCTGATTGTCAGATTATTGTCATTAAACAGAAGTGAGGATGACGAAATGAATGAAATGAGGGAAAGGAAAATGTAAACTGAACAAAATGAAAATGTTTCTAATGGTGAATTCTATTAGACTGTTGAAAAGTTTCCCAGGGGACATAGTGGACTTCCTGTTCTTTGCAAGAGAAAACACTTTAAGGAACAATCCTTCAGTGGAATAAAAAAACATCAGGTAACCTATTAGGTCTTCACCATCTTTGATTTCTGTGTAACTGAATAGAGCCAGAGCAACAGAACAGCATAACTTTTATCCATTAACATCAGTGTGACCTGCAAAAATGCAGGTAAGAAAGTCTTTGTTACCTTGAGGTGGGAGTACCAAAATTGTTAATGTTGGCACTTTTGCAAATATATGTTCGTGCAGATGTCCTAGTCCAGAACAAACTATACATCTGTCCTGAAAACTCCTAGTCTCATGAATTAAGAAGCAGTAGGTGATAACAAGACCTAACAATAAATCAAGATAATACTGCACACTGTGTAACCTAAGTATTAAATCAGAATATAAAGCATTTGCATAAAAATGAAAATGTCTGAGAGTAATACACTGTATTAAATTTCTCTGTGTGAAATGATTGTGAAGAAAAAGTCCTAATAAAACTGTACATGTTCATTATTGAAGAATTTTTTTTGTCTTGAATGCTTTGTGTAATTTTGAAAATTAGTTTCTCACAGAATACTGTGAAAAATATTTTTAAAATATTACTGTGATAATTAAAAACAATTAAAACCATCAGTCCTGTCGTACATGAAGTAACAGAGAAGTCTTGGTATGATGTCCAGTACTTGAATCAATATCATCCCTGGATCTGCAGGTTTGCAACCAGAACCCTCAAACAGAAGAAAACAACACTGCTAAGCATCATGTCATCACTGTCACTGTTCTGATCTAGGAAAGGAAGGTTGCATTTTTCCTTTCATCCTCCAAAAAGAAAACCCTATGGTATTGTGGGAGGAAGAAGTGGTTACACAGAACACTGATAACCCTGTTCTTCAGTG